AACTACAAAATGATATTAGAGACTGATTAGTAAACAACATTTTAACAGAGTATGTAGTAATTACTGCAAAAGGAACTAGTTATGAATTTAAAAAAAATCTTTTTATAAAACTTTAGCAGTTTAATCAAATTTTTTTAATCTATAGGCAGTAATATACTACAAAATGAACTATAGTTCCTTTTGCAGACTATATATAGCAGGCTATATATAGCCTAAACATTAAATTACTTGAACTAGTCTGCTAAAGTTTAATCAGAAGTATAAACAATACATTTTAACAGAGTATGTAGCTATTTATAACTATATACTCAGTTAAAACGTTGTTTACTAATTAGCCTATAATGTCATTTTGTATGTTAAATACTCTATTTATAGGTATGCCTACATTTGTAATAAAGTTTATAAAATATAACAGATTTTGTAATAAGTTATATGACTACACTTAGTATATATGCGGCATACTCTATAGACTATAGAGTATAGAGTATACTATAGTATGGTATAAAGAACTCAATAATTTATAGGCACATTTACACTATATTTATCACAAATTTTAAAAAATCTTATCACAAATCTTAACAAACAAATCAATATATCTGAGCTGCGCCAATATTTTAAAGTTACGCCAAAGTTAAGGTAGCTCCTACCTAACGTAACTTCTCTTGCTTAAATCAAGCTGAGCATTTTCTTAAAAAGTTTTGTGAATGCCATAATTTGAGAGTTGGACTTACGCAAGAAATAAGTAAATTAATCGTAAGTTCCTAACTTACGCCAAACTTACGCTTAAAAAAGTTTTGTCAATCCGCTTCTAGGTCGTTTATAACTATATGTTGTTTATAAATTTTATTACTTTTAAAACTACATCTTATTTATAAATTTTAAGACCTATATAGCTCTTATTAATTATATAAAGTTAAAAAGTTACAAAATAATTTTAATTTATATTAGTCTCAAAAGATAAATAAAATCAAACTACGTTAACTAAATTAAAAAAACTGTTAGCAAGATCTAAAAGTTTAATATACGTTTACTTAGACTAAACCTGAACGCTTTATATAAGCTAATCATTTTAGATTTAAACGTAATTTAAACAAAATCTAAACGACATATATACGAATAATAATCCTATAATAGACGTTTAAAATACGCTTGAATAGAGACATTTATGAGCGTTTGTTCTAAAAGTTAATCTGGATTTCATTATAAACGGCTAATCGACTAAATTTGAACGTTTAGTCTAAATATTGTTTTGAAGTTTAATAGACATTTGTGTGTTTACTGGCTTACTAAACCTCAGTAAATGTATTCAATTGCTGTATTAAAAAAAACATTATTTGAATCCTGTTTTGTTATGTGGCGTTTGAATTTATGCTCTGACTTTTCATCATACACTGGTGAAAGTAAATTTGGTAGAAGTGTTTCTACTTTTAATTTAAATAAGAAAATAACTAACACTATTGATAAACTTATGTTTTCAATAAAAGCAAATTTGATTTTAGATCTAAAATGAACTAATCGATGAATTTTTCATTTCTTAAGTTCGCCATTTTTCGAACTTATTAAATAGTTTACCACCGTAATATACTGTATTTTTTAAATGTTCAAGTTATACAAGGTGACGCTTCTTTATTTTCTATTTTTATAATTGATTTATAAACCAGCGTCTTTATTGCTTAGGCAACAAGTTAGTTCAGTTACACTATAATGTACTACTATAGTAGTTGATATAGGATAGTTTATATATATATATATATATATATATATATATATATATATATATATATATATATATATATATATATATATATATATATATATATATATATATATATATATATATATATATATATATATATATATATATATATATATATATATATATATATATATATATATATATATATATATATATATATATATATATATATATATATATATATATATAAACAAACTTTCTTTCAAAATCAACTACTATAGTAGTACATTATAGTGTAACTAAACTAACTTGTTGCCTAAGCAATAAAGACGCTAGTTTATAAATCAATTATAAAAATAAAAAATAAAGAAGTGTTAGCTTGTATAACTAAAACATTTAAAAGAATTCAGTATATTACGGTGGTAAATTGTTTACTAAGTTCGAAAGGTGTCAATAGGAAAATTCCACTCATGTTATTCCATTTGCCTTTATTTTTTATTCGTCTATAAGTGTAACTATAATGAAATTTACATAAATATTAACGTAAGTCGACTATCTATCTTATTTAACTATAATAAAGCTCATTTAACATACCATAATTTTATAATGGTAAATAGTTTTTATTATCATTTTTCTAAAGCTAAAATAATTGTAGTTTTTTAATTATCTAAATTATAAAACTAGTTTTTTCTAACGTTAGAAACAGTTTAAAATCAACTGACGTCAGCATTTAAATTTTTTTTTTTTTTTTTTTGCTTACGTAAAAATGTAAAAAACGGAATCCAAAATTTAGTTTTCACAAACTGCCCGTTATCTAAATTAAATCCCCCATGTAAAGATGAACTTTAGAACCTCTGCATTTCAAGAGCTTCGCGCACTTTCTGTTCAAATTTTTTTCTTTAAACTTTAATTGTTTTTACGTTTTTTCACTTTATTTCTTGTGAGCAAAACTTATAATCGGTGGCTATTGCAGATTGATAATGTATCCCCTCGTCTAAACTCTTTAGATGTTGCTGAGTTCGAATCCTAATTTGAAGTTTAGTTTCACCTAAGTATGTCTTTGAGTATTTGCATTCAATCAAATAAGTTTTGGGTTGACTATTATCTGGCAATTTAGTTTTGTTTTTCGAAGTTAGTAATGTTTTTAAATTTGGGTTTGATTTAAAGACTACTCTATAGCCAGCTTTCCTAATTATTTTTCTTAGTTTGGTGATAGCGATGGTATCCACGGTAACGATACAGTAGGGATGTTAAGAGAGTCTGATTGAATTTTGTTGATTTTTAGGGACCTTTTAATTCCAATGAAGTTTTTAATTCGTTTCAGTTGGGATATGTTGTACCAACACGTCTTGTTTTAGATATAGTAAGTTTGGTGGTATATATTTTGGTGGTAAATGTTTTATATATATTTTTTGGTTACCAACAAACTTACTATATTTGAAACAAGACAACTCATAGACCTTTGTTTACACCGTTGGTTCCTGTGGAAAACGAAATCCATGAATTTGAGAATTCTGGTTCTATAGGTCTTTCATTCATGTGATAGAATTAAAACGAAGACGATTTGTTACAGAAACTCTGCAAACTAACCTCTGGACCAAAAGGCGTGAAGCCTGAAAAAAATGTTAAAACCATATAAGAAGTAAAAGACTCAATAAAGCGGAAACAGATGCTTTATATCAAAATTAAAGAAATGTTTCTGTAATCCAATTTTAAGTAAAAGTCAAACTGTAAATGTTCGTATATGTTTTAGTATGTTTTAACATTGTATAATTTGAAGTTTTCGTTTGTTTAAGTTTAAATGTTAAGGCAATAATTGAATCTGGTAAAAAAACTGTTAACTGGCGCCAAATTCCGATACGTTCTGCGCCTTGCATTACCAAGAAGTTGACTTGTAAAAAGTTTTCTAAGTTTTACTGTGTTAATTAAATGATATTAATTATAAAAACATTTGATGGTATGAATTATTTAATTTAAGAAACATATTTTAAAAGCTTCAAAATAGATTAATTAATGTAAACAATCCAAAGACAATTTAACAAAATATTTTTTTTATAAAACAGTAAAATTCATAAATCTTCAATAAAAAATAAAAAAATCATTGGTCAGTTAGCTCTATGTTTTTTAATTAATGTCAAATAAAAGAGTCAGTTTTTGTTTTTTACCTTGTAACTTTCTAAATTTAAAAATGAGATAACATTTTTTAAAAGCTTTAAAAAACTTTTTATAATATCTCACAACTATTTGTCATCATTTTGAAAAATATTCTGAAATCTTTTAATTTATAGATTACTTTGTGTTTAGCGCTCTTCAGTAAGCACAAAATATTTCAATCTCGGTGATGAATATATGTGAAACTGTCAAATACTCCTTGAAATCTATTCAACGAAGTTTTTAGCTTTACTTTTCAGTATAGTTTTATTTTTACCATAAATTTGTATTCATTTATATTGTTTAAGCATGAAAATACGTAAAACTGTTGATAATAGTAAGAAACAACCACCAAAATATATGCTTTTTTAGTGGAGGAACACCGCGGAGTCTTGATCTGATATATATATATATATATATATATATATATATATATATATATATATATATATATATATATATATATATATATATATATATATATATATATATATATATATATATATATATATATAATATATATATATATATATATATATATATATATATATATATATATACATATATATATATATATATATATATATATATATATATATATATATATATATATATATATATATATATATATATATATCAGATCAAGACTCCGCGGTGTTCCTCCACTAAAAAAGCATATATTTTGGTGGTTGTTTCTTACTATTATCAACAGTTTTTGTACATCTAAAATATAATTAAACATATTATAACAATATATGTAAATATTGTCACAACTTACAAATTAAAGTTTCACTTTTTCTGAGTTTTGATTGTTTGTTGCGTAATATTATAACATTACTTAATTGTAAGCGATATATATTTATTAATTTTACGGTTAGCTGAAAAGGTTTCTTTAATTTATAATTAATAATAAATATTGCTTTAATATAATGTTGAAAATATGTATTTACTTCATAGTTAGTTATTTTTTAATTTATTTTTATAAATATTTAATTCACTGTTAGTCGTAAATATTTTGTAAAGTTGTAGTTACTAAACAAATACTTATTTAATTCCTAGTTGTTGAAAAATATTTACCTAATTTTTTAATTGACTTATAGTAAGAATAATTTAGTTTAAAAAATAAAATAAAAGTTATTAATTTTTAAATCAGAATATTATGGTCGTGGAATACTTGTAAATGCAGATAAATCATACTTATACATATGCATGAATCAAAACGTTGTGAGGTTACTTTTTTAAGTTTTACTTATAAACAATGTTAATTTGACATTCTCTTGTAATACTTGTAATGTTGTTTTATTGAATAATATATGTTGAAACCGTTAAAAAGTTAAAAAAAATTTGATTTTTTTTTCAATATTGAAAACGATGGTGAATACTGTTATGTTACCATGATTGAAGTCAATTAAGTTTAACTAATATTATTTTAATTAAATTTTTTTCAGCTCTAAAGCAGCTTGTTATTATTCTAATATCACTGGTGACTTTATGATTGGTAAGAACAAAAGTTCTACAATTGTTTTATAAAAAGTAGATTCTTAACTTTTAAAACTTTTCTAAATGCGTGTTAAATAATATTTTGTTTTAATGAACAATTTTTTTCCTTTCATAACAGTTTTATATATTTTATTATACACTAAAATTTACTTATCTCAGTAATGTTGTGTTAAATTTATTTTTATAACTAATGGTTTGCATCAGGTTATAAGTTGTTGTATATGTATTTCCATCCAAAACAAAACTGTTTTTAAAAGAAATCTGTTATTTGTTTTTAATATGTGAAAGAAACTTGACATAATTAATAAAAACTTTTAATTAACTATGAAACATTAAAAAAAAAGTTTTTATTATTAATATTATTTTTAACCTTGTTAAATTTTTATTTTAAAAATGTTTTATTTAAATTGTTAAAATGAATGGGAAGAGGATTGTTGATGGTACACCAAATTAGAAACACCTAATGCGTAGTTTATCGAAGAAAATTTGGGTTTTACCAGTAAAATTTTTTATATCTAGTTTAATTAATTATAGTTTAATAATCGAATAAATTTTCGGTATTGTAAATCTACAAGCGAGTAATTGTTAAGGAAAAAATTAAAATAACAGTCTTATTTTGGAAACAATGACCTGAAAAATGATCAATAAAAATTAAGATAGAAACAATAAATAATGTTCTACAAGTTACTGTTTGTTTTATGAGAAACTCCTTTACAGAATTAGCTCTTATTTTTTTAAATATCCTCGACTTAAAAAATTTAGATTACTTCAAAAAGTAATTATTTATAAATAATGTGTTTCTTCATTTTAAAAATATATTATTTACTAATGTTATTTTTAAGATGTTATAATTTAGTTTAAGAACTTAATTTAAATTGAATTTCAACATGTTTTATACTTATAGGTCTTGATATTCGTGTGGGATGTGTGTTAGGACGTCATTTAATAACTAAAGAGCTTTATGCGATCCATCGTAATCAAAGGTTGTATATATATTTTAATACAATATACAAAAAATGGCTTGGACTGACAAATCAACAATTTAATGAAATTTCCCAAAATCTTGAAAATCAGTTGATGAAAAATTTTGAAGTGGATGAAGATCAGTTTTTTACTCTTGGTGTAAATAAGTGGATGGGTAACTTTTTTTTTCATAGTATTTATAATTTTTTTCCTGATTTTTTGCTGATTTTTTTAAATATACTTTTTACTCGGCACATGGTTGAATTAGCCGGTTTTGGTCGGAACTTAGTAGGAACTAAAAGTATTACTTTTAGTTCCTACTAAGTATACTATTATTATTCAGAAACTATTTATTTACTAGTAGAACTTTATATTTTTATTTGATAAAAGGTTAAAGATATTTCTTTTGAAATTTTTTCTTAAGTACAGATAACTGAAAAATTAAAAAATAGCGCTTCCTTATTTAACTTCTATAGTAGTATATTATAGTGTAACTAATTTAACTTATTGCCTAAGCAATAAAGATACCGGTTTATAGAACAATCATAAAAAGGACAAATAAAAAAGTGTCAGCTTGTATTACTAGAACATTAAAAAAAAAAACAATTAATAACGATAGTCAGTTATTTAGTAATTTCGAAGGTACCTGTGAAAAAAATCCATCTATATTGTTCTATCGTCTTCATCTTTTATTCGACCATAACTGTACCTATAATGAAAGTTACAAAAATGATAATGCAAATTGACAACCTATATTACACAAGGAAAAAGCTTGTCATTATCATTTTTTTATAGTTATAATAATTGTTATTATTCAGGAAAAAATCAAAAAATAAAATTTAAAAAAATAAGCGTATAAAAATATGAAAAAATTACTTATAAAGTATAAATAGTTATAAAAGCCGTGCTGATTTTTAATCAGTGTTTATCGTATTTCCTAAAAAAATAAAAGTATATGTATATCATAGTTAGAGATGTTGACTTCTATAACTACATTTTTGATACTAAAGTATCATCAGCTTTATTATTCCATTTGTCTTTTACTCGATCCGATTAACCTTGTATTTAAACATAAGTGTATTTGATATATGATCGACAATATTTGATTGTTTTTTTAATCGACCATAACTTTAGCTATAATTAAATTTACAAAAATAATAATGTAATTTGACAACTTAATAACCAATTTTTTTTTATAATATAAAAGCTTATTTAACTTATCATATTTTTTAAATGTTCAAAAACTTTTCATGATTATTTTTCCATAGCTATATTAATTGTAATTTTTCAGGAAAAAGTCTTAAAAATGAAGTATGAGTGTGTGGATATATAAAAAAAACAACTTTAAAATGAGAAAATTATAAAATCGTGGTAACTTCTAATGAGCGTTCATATCATTTCCTAAAAAAAACTATATATTTTTTATATTATAATTAAAGGTGTGTAAATTATACCTGACTTCTCAAAATGCATTTATGTAGTAAGGGACTAATAGGAAATACTGCCTACGCTAATAGAAAATTTAAAAAAAAAATTTTTTTAGTCTTCATATTTTAATTAACCAAAACTGTATCTATAATGAAATACATAAAAATATTATTGTGACAACAATTTAATAAAATATATTTTACTTTAAAGTGTGCCATTAGAAACATCTTGCCTTCAAAACATATTCTTGTCATAAAACATAAAATACTTCACAATACTGTAGTATTGCTGGAAATAAGTTCACATTGGTTTTCATTTGAAAAAGAAACAGGATAAAACCTTAAACCTGCAGAGCATTCAACATACTTTCAAACATTTTTATGCATTTGTGACAATTTCCGATAAGTGATTATTGAACTTTTAAAAAACAAAAAAGTTCTTATTGTTAATTTTTATGTATATCATAATTAAAAGCTGAGCGCTCTATAAGTTCTTTTTTTTTTTTTTTTTTACTTATTAGGTTGAATTTCACATTTTAAAATATTATAGACTAGTCTGTCGATCATCCAACAAATTTCATATATATATATGTATATATATACATATATATATATATATATATATATATATATATATATATATATATATATATATATATATATATATATATATATATATATATATATATATATGTATATATATATATATATATATATATATATATATATATATATATACATATATATATATAAATATATATATATATATATATATATATATATATATATATATATATATATATATATATTTATATATAAATGATAAGCAGAATGTTTAATGGGATTTTGCAAAGGTCTTCTTTATAGGGGGTATACGATGTTTTTTGTTATTTCCCAATGAGGGAAATAACAAAAAGTATCGTATATCCAACTAACAATAATAAAAACATTTAATACAATAATAATACAATACAATATTATTTTTCAGTGTGTTATACATTGTATAACACACTGACAATTCACATCAATTGAATAACTGCTACTGAGTTGCCATATCTAAAGTACTTAATAGCACAATCCATTTTCGAAAATAACCTGAAACATTTAAGTAAAGAAGAATTCAAATTTTAAATATACTATTTATTTAACTTAGACATTTACTACAATAACATACTTGGCGATTGGTCTTTGTGATATAAGATTACTCATGTGGCATTTGTATCACTTCTATGCATTATACTTCTTACATAACTTCTATTCTTAAACCATTATTACCTACATTGTTTAAAAATATGGTTTAAGAATTCTTAGAAGGGATGAAAGTGCCGCATAAGTTACCTAATATTGCAAAGACAAATCACAACGTATTTCATTTATTTCAGTATAAATTTTTAATTTTGATCGTCAAAGTTAGATGAAACGTAATCATTTTTCTTTTAATCAATATATAATTAACATCAACATTAGCTGTATTTGAATTTTTAATTGAAAAACTGTTTGAGTCTGAACTAAAACTACTGTTTTAAAAAAAACTTGATGTCCAGGTATCGTGTTGTCATGAATATCATATTGTCATGGATATCAACATCTTTCTGTTGAAAAAGCTGCCTGATGTCATAAAATTGGTACGGTTCGGAAGATTGTTTTATTGGTACGGTTTGAAAGACTAGTTTTTTTACATCATAAAAATAGTTTTATATTCTGTTAGTTACAAACTTAAAAAACCATAAATTAGAAACGATATCATGCAAACTGAGCCAATCTAATGGAATCTTTTTCAAAATAAGATTTTTTGTTAACTACGAAACATTGATAAATATTTGGCATGCCTCGTTTATTTCCCACCTAAGTTATGGCTGCAAAATATGGTGACAAAATTCATTTCAAATTATAATTCAAAAAAAAACTTCAAAATAAATCTTTACAAATAGCTCATTTACAGCCAAGCAGTTTTAATCTAGATTTATTGTAAATTTTATCAGACATTTTGCAGTTAGATGAACTCAACTACTTGTTAAAATGTGTTTTTGTCTTGGAAGTATTCATAACAGCATACCTATGGCTTTTAATAAATATTTTAAATATACAAGTAATATTCATAACTATAAACTTAGATCAGGATAACGTTATAATATAGCTCTATCTTCAAAAAAAAAACAAGTAAATATGGTCCTCAGTCTACTAAATACCAATAAATTCACTCCTGAATATTTTTCTCTTTATCAATAAAAATGAGTCTGCCAATCATTTTTAGAGGTACTTTTATTTACTTTTATTACCAATATCAAAAAATTTATCTTCTATAAAAAACTCAAGTTTTAATACATCACTGTCTTATATCTTTGTGTATATATGTGTATATATGTATGTGTGTGTATATGTAAACGTATGTGTATATATGTATACTTTTGTGCTTTTATATTTGTTTTTTTGAGTGGCTGAGTATTTAAATATAAACATAGGTATCCTTTTTATAGCTCAAACGGACTCTTCTATGCTTATGTATTGATGGTGTTTTTATTTTACTTTTTTTTATAAAAAACGCAATTGTTATTATTGTTGATAGTATTATAATTAAAGCATGCCTTGATTTGCATATTATGAATTGAATAAGCAATATGAGGAAATCTGAGTATCTCCTTTTTTTTATAATATATATTTCAAAAATAATGATATTTCAAAAATCTGATGTCAAATGACTTTTTATTTACAAAACTTGTATTAGTTTTACAAAACTTGTCATAGTTTTGTTTTCCACCGACGATATACAAAAAGTTAGTAATTATTTTGGAAAATTGCAAAGTATTACTCAAGCATATTTGTTTTATGAAACTATAATAAGTAGCTTTATATATTACTGTAAAATTATTACACTGTCACTATTTTTGTTACTGTTTTAGTTCACGATTAATTTATTATTGAAAGCCTGAAGGAAAAGGTGTAGACTAAAGTCTTGAGTAACAGTCTTTTTGTTACTCAAGACTAGATATAGAATATCCTGAATCGAATAAAATATTATAGCATTTTTGATGCCAACTGTCATTATATATGCATTATTGATATTAATGATATTTTAAGTTGTTGTTGATTTTTAGGTGAACTTTCTAGCTAAATTCTATTCAAGTTATTTTAAATTCAATCCAAATGCAGATTTTTTACAAGGGATAATTGGTTCGTTTTACAGGGATAATTGGTTTGTTACTCGAATTTTTTGTTCTGTGTTTTCTCGTGTATATATTTCGCATAACAAAAGCTGATTTTCAAAAATCGTGTATTTATCATTTAATTCTATGCATCAATCTGTCAAGAAAAGTTTAGGGTTTTTATTTTAAACGCTTAGCGTATCGCTAACTTAAATCATCATAAAATGTGTTGTATAAATAGTAGGGTGTGCTATACTAATATTTTCTATCGGGTTGAAAATTCTGTTTTCTGAAAACTTGTATTTTTATGTAATATTACTAAAACAAGCTTAGATTCCAAATGATTAGGTATTGTGGTTTATTCTCCTCCTTGGTCCGGAAAAACGAGTTTAGCTTAATAAAGAGCATCATAACCCACTTCGCCCATAAGAATTTAATTTTGATAAAAACGAAGGAATTAGAGCAAAAGTCAGAAGAAGTCGAGTTAGAAAGATAGCATAGAGAAAACGGAAAGATATTGTACTAGATGTTAGAATGCAATTTTAGCCTATAAGTTTATTACATAAAGTTTTTGGTTAGTTTTTACTTTTAGTATTGGTAACCAA